TAACTAGAAGGCAGCAAATTCAGAATAAAAATCAACTTAAAAGGAAAAACCTAGAGTAAACCAGGCAACATCAATCTAAAACTAGTTCCATAAAACACACCACACTGAAACAGTTGGATTAAACTAAAAGACAGAGATAAAACAAGAAACCATAGTTTGGGACCAGACATGTAGTGGGGAGAAAGTGGCAAAGGTACAATTACAAAGATAGCAAGAAATACCTTTGCTAGTTAATAATTCTACACTTTGGTAGAAAATTCAACAAGTCTTGGAATATTACTAGAAAAAAATTATTTCAAGCCATATTATTTATAAGCCAAAAACCAGCAAAACATGGAGTTAGAAAGAGATCATAACAAAATGAAAAAAGAATTTGTAATTCTTGGAATATGCTTAACCCCCTCCCCCCCAAAAAAATAATAAAGAGGGGGAAAAAAAGTAACTTCTAGAAAGAAACTATTTCAAAAGATCTACTCAGAAATCGGAAAAATCAGAAACTTTTGTGGTAAGAGTGGTAAAGGGTAGCTTAAAATTCCTCACATACCAGTTAAAACAAAAAGTGCTTTAAATCTATACCTGCTGAAATCACAAAGTTTAGCATTAAAAAATAGTTTTTTTTGTTTGTTTGTTTTTGTTTCCTGGCAAGAATTCTGATTTTTCTTAGCTAAAGATAAATGTCTGCTTTTAACCAGAAAAGGTAAACCTCTACTCAGAATTAAATAGTGCTACTTCCTGGGCCTTAGCAAGTAGCTTTACAATCTCATTATTAAATGTCTAATATTCTTGATGTTGACAATCTTATTCTGACTTTAGATCAAGCAAATCATCTTCATTTCTGAACTTTTTTCTAAATGTATATTTAGACCACAAATACATCTCTCATTAGTAATTTTCGAAGATGAATCACCTACCAATCCTTTTTTTTTAAAAAAAATCAATCTCCACTGTTCTTAATCTAGTGTTTCATTTAATTCATGGCTGCTGCCTTCAATTAGTCTATTAGCATTAACAAGAAAATAAAATACTAAGTTGTTAATGTGTAGCAAGACCATATGTTACAAATACATTTACCAGGTATAAAAACATCCATTAGGCTCAGGTTTAAAAATAGTTCAGTTTACAGTTTCAAGAAGTACACAAATCTGTTATCCCACATGATACAATTAACAAGTCAATCAAGTCCAAGAGATTTGTCAAATGTTCAGCAAGCCAAAGAATGTAAATCTGTTTAATGAAGCCAAACAGACTAAAAGTCAAAGAAAACAATGCTCAAATCACAATCAATTCTAGCACCATATAAGACTTTACCATTTTCTTCTATGTCAACTTTCTCTGCTTTTGAGCGATCTTCCCGGTTTACCAGTTGCCTACTGGCACAGACCTGCTTTAGGCCAAGGAAAAGGAAAAGTATTGAAGGGACAATCTGTCCCACCACAGCTTCTACTGCAGGAGGTCGATTTTGCAATTCAAAAAGGATACTCAGTCCTATTATACACATCTTCCGATCATGATGCCTGCAAAATTTAAAGGGAAAAAAATGTAGACATGAGAAGTGCAATAAAGGACAAAACCCAGAGAAATTACAAAAAGAAATGTTCAAGGCAAACTCTAGGGTTTATTCATTGGGATTGTACAGAAATAGCTCCAGTTTTCTGCTATATGAAATCTTACATTAAAAAAGTTTTATAAATCATTATCATTAAAGACCCATGGGAGTCTGCAATTAGCATGGTGAATCTTGCTGTAATACCAACTTATGACTAATGTAAATGCTACATCTGAGTGCTGGCATAATGGGGTTTGTTAAAACAGAAAATTCTTATACAACGGAAAACATGGAGAGTTCCCCAGACTCTTCCCATTAGACTAGTCCTCAAGATTTCTTGGCACAGGTACTGTACACTAACACCAGTTGCCAAAAGCTATTTCAAAAACTCGACCTCCAATAAGCTGAGCTTCATAGATCTAAGTAAATCTACTAGCATCCTCTGCTATAACACGGATAAGGAACTCTTTTTATTAAATTATTTATTCTAATTTGTTATACACAATGGCAGAATGCAATTCATTTCATGTTACACATATGAAGCACAATTTTTCAAATCACTGATTGTACTTAAAGTATTTTCACACCATTTATGTATTCATACGCGTACTGAGGGTAATGCTGTCTAACTCATTCCATCATTCCTAACCTCTTGCCTCCTCCCTTCCCCTCTCTCCCTTTTGCCATTTTGCAAGCATGAACAAAAACAATCATTTGCAGTGGTTCAATTCATTTAAAATGAGATTATAATACAACAACCTCATGAATACTTTACAAGCTTCTGTTATTCCTCATTATTTACATTGCTTGCTTCATTTGAGTTACTAATGGCCAAGTCGTATGACATAAGAGGAATTGTACTTGACCGAAGGCTTTCTCATTCTCATAGTATCAAACTAGTAGTGCATACAAGTCAAGTGGATCAGAGCAGGAAAGATGATTAACCAGTGGGTCTCTAAATAATCTAAGGAAGCACTCTCCAAGGATGCCCAGTGTATGCAAAAGCTAAAATACACTGTGTCTTTGAAAAACTGCTTATTCATGTTGACATAAATATAAGAATACCAACTACATAACTTTGCATGAACAAATCTCTACTCTAAATCTTTGTAATAGATAACTTTAAGCACACTTTCTTTTTTTTTTTGGGGGGGGAGCAGCTGCCGGGGATTGAACTCAGGGACACTCAAACACTGAGCCACATCCCCAGCCCTATTTTGTATTTTATTTAGAGACAGGGTCTCACTGAGTTGCTTAGTACCTTGCTATTGTTGAGGCTAGCTTTGAAGAATGTTTTTCCCTTGACAGTTTTATAAACAAATATAAGTAGGGACAAATTCCAGGCTTCTACAAGTAGAAAACAGGCAGAGCATCCTGTGTGTTCACTCAGTCCTAGTCTACCATCCTAACCCAGGTCTTCACCATCACCCACGCACATGGTAGTGTTCTGATCATTTCTACTCAAGTGTCTACTCCCTTCAGCAAATTTTTCTAAGTAATATTTTATAAAACTTAAAAAATGTTCCCAAATTAAGACAGCAAGCAAGCTCAAATTCTAACATAATATAGCCATCAACATGTGTTGGGTGACTTCAGATGGGCATATAACAATGTAGGACCTTCCTTTTCCTGTATTTGAACCATGCCCCCTGCCTTTTTTTTTTCTCACAATACTGGGGATGGAACCCAAGGCCTCATGCATGCTACGCAAGCACTCTACCTTACCTATATCCCCAGACATAATTTGTATGTTTTTTTCTTTGTGGCACTAGGGAATGAACCCAAGACCTTGTACATGCTTGGCAAATGCTTTACCACTGAGCTCCATTTCCATCCCTATGTTTGAAAACTAGGAAAGTGAGTCACAGAAAGCAAAACTCTTCTACAGAGGCAATCTCTAAGCTAAAATTAATAATCTTTCTGACCACATTTGAGAACAGGCTCCTTTGAGAGCTGCAAAGAGCTAAACATCCCAGGACAGTATGTAACACCTTTGGCAGACTGATATCCTTCTTAGAAACCTGATTGCCCCTAGAATGTCTGCCCACAGACACATAATAGTCATAGTTTAGATCCTTAATTTTTGCTGCCTATGATATAATGACACACAATAATCAAAAACAAATGAGAAGGGGTTGGGGCTGTAGCTCAGTGGCAGAGCACTTGCCTAGCACATGCTGAGGCACTGGGTTTAATCCTTAGCCCACATAAAAATAAACAAAATAAAGGCATTCTGTCCACCTACAAGTATTAAAAAAAAAACTTTTTAAATGGGAAGAGGCTTGAATTCTTTTCACTAGATTGTACTGTTGAAACACATTCATAACACTCTAAAAATTAAACATTGTGTTACTAACATACCAAAAATAGCTCCAATGATATGAAAATTGATTTTGTACATGGTATCCTACATATATATATATATGAAGAAGTAACCTTCCAGAAACAAAGTCAATATGAAGTCCAAAAGGCACACATACCCAAGAAAATAATCTGTATCGTTCATCCACTGGTTTATAAACTGTACAGTGATAGGTCCAGGGTTGTGAGGCAACTGAATTCACTCGAAAGTATGTAGCAGCAAATCAGGGTTATAGTACAAGGCAGCAATTGCAACCTGAAGACACATCGTACGGAGTTCACTAGTTTTGACTCCTCGAGTTAATCTCTCCAAAACAAGTTGAACAAAGAGAGGAATGCACTAAAGAGTAAAAAGAAAAGAAGAGTCAACCATACACAGAGCAACCAAGTAACTTACAGAAAGCTAATACTGGCAAAGAGTAGTATCAAAAATTCTCAATGACAATAAAATTTTTGTTTATTTAAATTGTTTTTAGATATTTACAAGATTTATATGCTCGCAAAATTCACAGAAATTAAGTAAACAAAACAACAGTCCTTCAGCAATGCCAGGAAATCTGCTTTCTTAAGTGAACACTGGAGTTCATGCAAGACTGACCAGTAGAGTCCACACTCAAATGGTGACAATAACCCATGGGTGAACTCAGCTAGATAAAATGATGAAGGTAGATTTTTCTTTGATTAATCAAATTGAAAATAAATGATTGGGACTAAAAATAAGTATGATAGTCTCAGTATGTCTCTTGAAAACAATTTTACATGAAAAATGAAAAAGAAGTGGTGAACCCCACACATTAAAATAAAATGATCTAATTCCAATGCTAACTCTATTTCTTACTCAGATGCAGAATAGTCCTGGTTCTAATGTAATAGCACAACAATATGATTTTAAAATATATTAAAAATTATTACCCTGGCCAAATAACTGGTTGAGAATCAGTGAAGTCACAATGGAAAACAAGCCTGAAGGGCTTTTTTTGAGAGGTTTTAAAAGTAAATTTTATTTTTAAGTAACTTAATAATACATACAAAGCCAAGAGGAACCAAAGGAATCTTTAAGTTTTAAACTAGTAACACTAAAATTATCCCCTTTACAGTATATTAAGACAAAACTGATATGGAGACAGGTGGGACAAGTTACACAAACCCACAAATAAAGCACGGTGCAACTACAAGAGCAGTGCAGGAGAGCTGCTCGTACCAATGTGGAGGGTGGCCGCCAAGAGAAGAACAGCGAAAAACATAGGTAGAGTGCACTGCTGTGTATCTAAGAAGCAAGGAAAGAATGAATTTAAAATGGAGGGAAATAGGGAATTGCAGTAAAGGTAAAAGGATCAGTGATGGAGGCTAGACTCCTCTGAATACACCTTGTTTATTAAGTTGGACTTTAGAACTGTGTATATGTTCTATATTCGTTAATTTTTTTTTAAAAAGCAAACCCTAAAAATTCAGATTAATTGAAGTAAATGAATAAGCCAAACAGGGATTATTTTAGTGACTTTAAATTTAATGATTTGACTGTATATTAACTACATGTGTATATTTGTATACTCCCAGAGTATAGACATACCTTGGGTGAAAAGAGCTACCAAAAATCTTGAACTGTTAATAGTAATCACATTTTTTTAAAAAAAGAGAGAAAGAAAGGGAGAGAGAGAGAGAGAGAGAGA